GAGTAGGCATCTATTTGGACTTAGCTAAAGGAGACTAATCTAAATCTACCATCTCAGCCACCTCTGGAGCAGACCCCATTCAGGCTATAAGTGATAAAGAGAGAAGATTCAAAGGATCTCAGAGAATGCATGAGGCTATTTTTTTCCATATAAGCAAAGACAGAGAGCTTTGTACATATCCCCATGAAGCTTCCTGAGAGCAGGGGAGATGGACATTTTTCCAGATTAAATGCTTGCATATGTAGCATATTTGCTGTTGTTCATACCTCTGAGCAGTGGTAAGAATTAGCATATGCACAGGACAGTGAAATAGGTGATGAGTGGAGCATCTATGGGTAGGGAAGGATTTGTAAAAACTTCCTATGATCAAGTGGATTCTAGGCAAGGTAGACGGACCTGAACCAACTTTCTGGTACCCCATTCAAGACCAACCCCACGGTGGAAGCTTAGAATATTACAAACCCTGGTGGGTTTTCCAGATTGGGAAACTGTGCCCTGGGAAGATCTCCTACCAGGCTCCAATGATGTCATGCAGACACCTTAGGAGAGAGAATCAACAATCAGCCAGTGTTATCCAGAGAGGTAGCAACACCCAAAAGAACACACACTGCACAGTTAAGTGAAAAGCTTGTTCAATTTCTTGCCTTACCTCTCCCCTACTTGCCCACAGCAAGAGAATGTACAACAAGAAAGTTGGAAGGAAGAATGAAGCAGCAGACTGCACGCCTACCACTCCAAGCACCTCTGCTACAGCTTTTTAGGGGGAGAAAGGAATGTTTGAAAAGTACAAGACTGAAGGCTTAAACTGGATTCATTAAACCTGACTTTTGTAATATGGGAAAGCAAATGAAAAGTACCAGCCCAAGGTGTTGTTAAAGGACAGTAAAAAATATCCATTGGAATATGGATGAAGCTGGGAACTGTGGTGCACCTTTATTCCAGCAACTCAGAAAGCTGAGGCAGGAGGATTGCAAATTCAAGGCCAGTCCTGGCAAGTACATGGTGAGATGGTATCTCAAAATTCAAAATTAATTAATTAATTAAAAGGCTGGGGATGTAGCTCAGTGTCAGACTGCTAGTCAAGAATGTGTAATGTCCTAGTCCAATCCCTAGTACTGCAACACAAAAACAGTTAAATTAAATTTTAAAATAAAAATTGATAAAGAAAGGGCTAGGGATATTGCTCAGTGGTAGAGTAACCCTGGGTTCAACTTCCTATAACATACATACATATACGCAGGAGGAGGGTGGGGGGAGGAGGAGGAAAATGATAGTGATCAAAGAAAAACAAGTCTATTCTGTCTCCCAAACATCCCTAAAAATGTACCTCTCCCATTTGTGTAGCCTTGCAGCCAATTAACACACCATACCAGCTTGTTTCCCATGAAATCCCATCTAATTTTTTGTGGTGATAAAATTAGGGGAAGGCAGAAAATCCTTTCAATTCTGAACTGAAGAAATCCAAGATCGCTGGAGAGGAAGGAGGAAAGCCATAATATATACTAAAAAAAAATAGAGTATATAATGGCTCTTGGATAAAGAGAGATTTCAAAATTCTGGGAAACATCAAACTTTCAAATTTGGGGTCCAATTAGAGAAAACATTTCAGCAATCTTTTAAATCTCTGCTGATATTTGATAAGACCTTTCTATGCTCCGGATTCTGTACCAGGAACTTAATAGGCATTTTCATTTGCCTGATCCCACACACATTTTATTCAGCCTAAATGACAAGTGACTTCAACTTTATGCTCCAGTTTATACAATAGTAAATATTGTACCAAAGATGACTGTTCCTCCCTATGATCTTCAGTCAATTTGAAATATTAGATCCTGAATTAAAAGTCAAAATCTTAAGATTTTAGTTGAAGTAACTTAGAGGGTACCTATGGGTTTTGTCTTCCCAGCAACACTTTTCTTCTGGAACTATCTTTCTTTGGGTGCGATGATTCCCAGAACATATCCTCACTCAAGCACACATACACATACATGCATGAGCACTCAGGTGCACACACCCCACACTTCCTGGTCCTTGCAAAGCAAAATCGCATCTTCTCACATGGCTCTATGGACCTTGAAGAGTGGTAATGGAGTGAGAAGGTGACTTCCAAATACTTCAGCTTTTGGAACCCTGAAAGGCCCTCCGGGAAGCATTTGGGTTCCATGCAACACAGTTTGAAAATCACTAATCAGGAACACACTTCTACATACACATCCTACTCCGTGCACACTGGATTGTGCTTAACCACAGCCTTATTCTCTTTAGCAACCAAAATAATAGAATACAGTACAGTGTTCACAAGAACTGTGAAATACAGACAACATGGTACTTACAGAAAGAAAACCAGCCATGTCTAAACTTGCTTACTTACATTGCTTTTTTCCCTTATTTATTTCTACTAAATTCTTATGATCATAACAATTGCACTAGTGTTTTCCTCAATCATTTCCCACATACTAGCTTTTTCTCGGAAATTTCCATTTATATTTAATGTCTGTATCTTGTAATTTCTTGAAAAGGACAAAGACAGAAGTCCAGTCAAGGCCGTAATACTGCTTTTCTCCTAAGAAACTGTCAACCAAATTTCTCAGGGAGGAACTGGAAATGAAATGAGAGACATTGATAAATTTCCCTGCTGAACAATCAATAAAAGTCCCACCATTCTGCTCAGCCTCCCACTGTGGAAGCAAGAGCCATAATTACATTGTCAAAAATTCAAGTTGCCCAGGCTGACAGCGACCCCCTTGAAAAGTGACAAGTGATTGGCACTCTATTCGAGGTGGTGAAGCTGGATTGGCAGATGGGACAGCCAAGGCAAAAGGCAAGAGTGAAATTTCCTTATTGACTACAACCACCCAAACCTCAGACCTTTACTCTGGAGGAATCCTACAACCCTTTCATCATATAACACATCAAAGTGAGCAGGTGACAGAGCTTACTAAATAATCTGAACTCCACCCAAGATTCAGAACATCCCCTGTCCTGTAGAGCTGTATATGGGAGAAGGGGTGGTTTAATGTCTGGTGAAAGTCTTCTATACATGAGTGTGTGCAAGTTTCATCAATTATAGAAAGACATAAAATGTGCTTTCAACTCCAGCTTTTCTTGTGACAACTGAACAGCAAAGCCTGTTTGCTTAGCATTTTAATCTATGATAAAAATCAGCTAGAGCAGAAGGGTTACAAAGGGCAATAATGAAGAACACAAAGGGAGAGAGAGGATGGGAACAGTATTACCCAAGGAGTAGTTAAATTAGAATCCATCAGTGGCTGTACTTCTGTATGTTCAAAATCAAGGCTGCAAAGGGCCTGATTTGCTGAGCAGTGCTCTACTTCTGAGTATGCTAGGGCCCACGAAAGTGGTTTCCAAGAACTTGGTTCTAACCATGTCCAGGAACAGTGGTTGTCCTGTGCTGAAAAGCAGCTGCACCCGGAGAGATTAAAATCTAAAGGTGTTCACTGGGTGGTGGGAACAGAACAAAAGGTGCCTGGGAATGTTGTTGACTCATAATCTCCAAGGCTAAATCCTCTCCTAGCTGATGAAGAGATAGGCACAAAATTTAATAAGGACAAAAATTGCTAGGCAGGACAGGCCCTATGCCAAATTTTGAAATAAAAGCCTCTGCCCCCTCAACATTTCCTTACCCCCTAAAAGAAAATATGATATATTTGGTACTGGGTACTCCATGATTTAGGAAAAAGAAAAAGAATATAATCAAAATAGTAATAGCTAATACTGCTTGTGTGTTATTGTGTGCCAGATACTCAGAAACCCTTCATGAGCACAGCATGGGGGCTGTTTTCTGCTTTCATAGAGATTAATTTGTCCAAAGTCATAGCTCAAAAGTAACAGAACTAAACCAATTTCTGATTCCACAACTGTCAACTACTAAAATCAGTGAATTTCCAAGTGCAGTCAGGGGACCATTTGAATCAAACCACATGCAGGTTCCATTGAAATGCACATTCCTGGGTTCCACCCCAGGCCCACTGAATCAGACTCTGGGGATGAGACCCAGAAATCTAGATTTATACACTCTCCCCAAAAGAGTCTTCTATGCACCTAATAATGGTGAATTATACTATTCTGAGAAGTAGAGTGAATGTTGGGTCATTAGGGACTTTCTGGGTACAAAGCAGTGAATCACATTGCTCACTCTTTTGCATACTTGACAGCAAAAGAAAATTAGTTTTTCTCTAAAGCCTCAGTGTCATCAGACCCACCTTTGGCCCTGGGAAAAGGCCAGGGACATTATGCAAAGATTTTAACCATGATATACCACCATGCTGGAGGGGAAATCTGTTTGAGACCTCAGGTGGTGAGGGAGAAGATTGATGAGCCACAGAGGTGCCTGGGATTCTCTGATAGATACATCACCATACACCTCACATCAGTGGCTACTCTTTTCTATATAATATAGAAGTGGGGACAGTCTTATATAGAGAGGAAATAGCTTTATTTCACATGTGTTCAATGTGCAAGCTCTATGTCATGTGAGATCCTAGACACCCCCTGAGGGAAGGGCTTTGGGGAAGCAGTTGAATAGACACTGATGGCAGTCTAATCTGAAAACATAAATGGAGAGGGAAGTTGGGTGGGAGGAAGAAAGGGAATAAAGAAGAGGAAATAGGGTAAAAGGAGGAAAAGGAAAGAGAAGATAAAAATGAAAGAAGCAGAGGGAAAGGAGGTCTCACTCTCCATACCCAGTAGCATCGCACAGCTGGAGAGGCAAAGTGTCTTTTAACTTTCAAAATTCTCAAAACACATCAGACTCATCTACTGTGCTTCAGTTTCATCATACTGACTGTAAGCATTGGCACTGGGGATTTCTTTGGTATTTGCTTAATCACAAAGACTTGTAAGCACATAAAGGTAGATTATGAATGCTCACTGATTGATGAAAGATGTAAATTTTCCATTTTTATACATCGATTTTTACTGCTTGCACATTTACTATACAGAGCCCTATTTCATTTCCTCTAGTCAACTGCCTCACTCACCGTGCAAGGAAAGAGTTCCATTCCTCACAGCCAGAAACTTGACTCCAAAGGGAAAGAAGGGCATAGAGTGGGAACTCCCATAGAGTTTGATCTCAGCTTTGCCTTGGAAAGGCTTGCCCTTGGATCCAATCCGGAGTTCTCCACCATCAGAAACAAGGATGGAGTGGGCCCTCAGCTGGATGGGTCCTGGATCCATAAAAATCAGCTTGCCCCCTAATAGACAAAGAGAAAACAGTCAGTCCCTAAGAGGGTATGTCTCACCCATTTTTGACAGTTCCAATGCCTGATGAAATCCCCTTCATTTATATACTTTTTCTGGAACTTAGACTTATTTTATTTTACACTCTTTTCCAGAACTATATTAGGGTATATCTGACACTCAAGAATAGAAACAATGTTTTATTAAGCCAGTTAAGTAAGGCATTCTAAAGCTTCATTTGTAATATTTTTCAAGACAATAATCTAAACATACAGAAATTTAGGACTGGTTAAACAAAGCATTCGAAGGCTTCTAACTTTATCATTTAACAAGAAATAAAAACAGCTTACAAAATAAAGCTTATAAAAATTGGGAAACAAGTATAAAAAAATAGGGAGAGAAGAAATGTGCCAAAAGTAAAAGAATTACAATAAAAGGTAATACAATTAGGACTAACATAATGTCACTTGTGGCATTTTTAACTGGTATCATCCATTATACTTTCTTTTGATGATAGACACTAATTTCTTTGAGAGTTCTGCCTCCATTGAATAGATTTGAGGGACATTGCCAATCAAGACTTTCTTTTCCTACTATAGCTTAAGACACATAATAAAATTTCAAAAGGAATGTGAAGCAAAGGGGGAGAAAAGACAGGAAATGATTAAATCTTAATTCCAGTGGTGGTATTCTAAAGAGTCTTGGAAGAGTTCCTGCTTCTGAGACCTCCACCTGTCACCTCCCTATCCAATGCCCTGATTCCTGTTTGTTTCTATGCCTGCTTTGCGAACTGATTTCCATTGATTCAGTACACTACCCAATACCTTCCTGATATGTTTCCTTTTAAAAGAGAGTTAAACTTCTGTTATTTACAACCCATAACCTTAACTGATTCAGACACCATTCTGCTCTAATGTCCCAGTTATCTATAACACAGAAATATAATTTTAAGATAAAACTATTCTCAATAGTGAGAGCAAATAATTCAATATCAAAAAGATACTCTTATCTCTATAATATCTTTCTTCAGAAGGATTTAAAATATTTACATGTCATATACAATTTCTCAATAATGTTGAAATAATTAAAGTATCACATGTAAACACTTAACATGAACAAGCTATTAAATCTATCTTCCTGCTAAAAGTGGTTTGCAAACGTACTGCACTATACTTTTCTACTCTGTACAGAAGTGGTTAAAGTTGTGACTATATTGGAAGCACCAGAGGTTCTCTTTTCCAAACCCTATAACAGCTTCCCATCTTGTTCAGAATAATTCAAAGTCCTTATACTGAGCTACAAAAGACCCCTCTTGATTTGCCACCCATCTCTGAACATCTCTCCAACATCATCTTTTGAAATATACTCTTTCATTCATCTGCTCTGCTATAGTTTGAATATGGTTGATCCCCCTCAAACTCATGCAGCAGTTTATACCCCAAAGTTTTATGTTAATGGAAGTAAGAGGCTGGAAACTTGACATGCTATGTTTAGAAGGGGGGGCCACTGGGAAGTGATTAGATTGGATTCGATTAGATCATTAGCGTCTAGCCCCTGTGATTGAATCTTAGTTACTATATAAGAAGAGGGAGAGAGACCACACAGAGATATGCACATGTTCCTGCCACATGCAATAGCTAAGGGGGACCTTACAAAAGGTTGCACCATATTGTTTGGAATTCTAGCCTCTAAACTTTAAGTCAAAATAAATCTCTTTTTATATAAAGTAACCTGCACCCAGTACTTCATTATAGTAATAAAAAGCTGACTACTACATATTCCAAATATATTGACCTGCCTGTTGGTTTTCAATCAGATCTCAAATCCTATGCATTTGATCTTCTTTTGCTTAGAATTTCTTTTGCTGAATTTGCATGTTAGGAATAGCTCAAAGGAGCCAGGCATGGTGGCTCATGCCTGTAATCCCAGCAGCTTGGGAGGCTGAGGCAGGAGGATCATGAGTTCAAAATCAGCCTCAGTAAAAGCGAGGCACTAAGCAACTCAGTGAGAGCTGTCTCTAAATAAAATACAAAATAGGCTTGGGGATATGACTCAGTGATCAAGTGTTCCCGAGTTCAATCCCTAGTATCTCCCTTCTCCCCCCCCCCGCCCCAGAAAAAAGTGGCTCAAAGGGTAGATTCCATTATTACACGGTGAATCTTAGTGAGGAGCTATAGACAGCAAAGACCCGAACCTGCTAAATTTATTCCTATATCCAGTGTGCCAAATTATCGAGTTGAATCATTGCTTCTGTCCAGAAATAACAACTGAGAGTGATTAATCACACTCTGGAGGAATGAGAGGTAGAGAAGGAAAAGGCTAAGATGCCTTTAGTTATTTTTTTAACCTTCATCTTAGTGCAGAGATAATGATTAATAAATGTTTGACCAATAGTCAAATGTAGAGGCCACTTCTTCCCTGACCTTCTGTTCTGAAACTTTCTTGAGTTTTCTTTGCCTCACTTCATCAAGACTTTCAGTCTTCACTCACAAATTCCAAGCCACACACCATCAGTAACAGGCACAAGATATTTATTTGGACTTGACCCCTCATGACTCTTTCTGTTCAGCCACAATTAGATTGACAGACCTCATCCAGGCATACAATTTCTCCTTCTGTAAGATGTTCATGGGAAGAAGTCCTCCTTCAGAGAATTATGGTGAAAGTTATTAAAATGATACTTATAGGTCCTTGCTCTAAGGTCTGATAGCTACCGGATTCTTAATGTAATGGAGTCTGCTGCCACCACACTCACCATTTCGGCTCCCCAGGCTATTGCTACCGTTGTCCCATCACTTTAGCATCTCACTGCTACCAGTCCTGACTTTCCCTTTGGACCACATCATAAAAATTATTCTATAAGGTAAGTAAATGCAAAAATAGGGAACTCTCTTCTGTCAGTCTATAGACTCATGCTGTAGCAATTGTACTCTGATTACCAGACGTCCATAGGAACCACGAGCAATTTTGACTTTAATTTTCCCTTCCATTATCATTGCACCTAGAAATGCAGTAATCAATATGAATCCCCCTGAAAACAAGGAGAAAAAAACACATCTTTTGATGTGGTTCACATATTTATGTTAACTAAAACTTTCATACACAGTCACATTTCATTGACATCATAACTAAATATGTTCAAGTGCTGGATCATGGATTTGCATGGCAGGACTCTTTATTTCAAATAATCAGGAAATCCAAAATGACCTTGATGAGTAAGTGGCAAAAGCGGGGTACAGACTCTGAGTTCCTATCTTGACTCTGCTATCAGGTTCTAAGTGACCCTCAAAAAATCTCTGGGCTTCAGATTACTCAGGTGTAGTGTGTTTTCTCATTGGCAAAGTGGATGGTAGAATCGTGTATACACTGAGGGTCCTCCCCACTCTAGAGCCTTGAACATGCCCATCTTTAAGAGTGCAATCAACTGCACATTTGACACTAATGGAGACATGAAGCTCATGCTTTCCCCACACCAACTAGGCTGCAGTGAACTTAGAATTTCACTTGAGAAAAATCTATGTATGGTCAACAATTCAAATTAGACTATAGGAAAACAAGGGTGCTAACCTTTGTTAGGCACTACCATGAACCAAAAAATCTTTAAATTTTTGTCTGAAATGACTTTTAAAATAAGTCTTCAAGGTCAACCTCCCATTCTCTATTTTGCAAAGCATGACATGGGCTTGGAGAAAGAAGCTCAGACCTCCTCCAGCCCAGAAGAGGTAGAGCCAAGCACTAGAACCTAGGGCCACCTTATAGAAAAGCTCATATTTTACCCATTTCTACAAATGGTAGTTTTTTACTAATTAGGGTTAAGAAAAAACAAGTGTTAACCTAAATACTTTTGCCTATGGCTTATTTGTATATGGTTTATTTTAATTTTGTTAATGGAGATACACCTCACCTCGTTCCAAAAAGGATTTGAAGAAGATTATAAGGATTAGTGGACAAATGAATAAACCTGGGCTTTGTCCCTTATAGCAGTAAGCAAAATATTAAATACACCGAAACAAATTTTAGAAATTTTGAAACATTGGTTACTGACCAGAACCAATAATGCTGTTAATGAAGGGAGAAGAGTTCTACTCAAAGAAAAGGAATAGTTTGTACTGTGAAGAGTGCTATCAGTTGGACTAATTAATGCAAACATCACTGACCCCTGCCAAAAACCAACTGTTCCCCACTTCATCAGTGGCAAATACAAGTGCATCTAGGTACATTAAGAGGAGAGACTGATGAGGAATTCAGCTATTTTTTGCCTGAAACAATAAGCAATAAGCAGAGTGAAAGCTTCTCTTTGTGAAAATAAAGCTTATATGTGCTCCAGATCTGCACCAAGACCTCAAGATTTCTATCCTCACGCTTTATTGCTTTACAATAAATACAGAGTGGCCTGCTTCACAGGACAGTGACTTGAGAATGGGAGGACAGTGGGAGGACTTTATCTTTTCACTTTATAGAGCTCGACCCCATTTCTGAAAGCTAAAATAAAGAGCAGGGCTGAGACCAGCCTTTGACTGTGACCCTTAAATTGCTTTCCTGAAAGCTGACTACATCCCACAAGTGACCTTGAGTAATTTTATAAAAATCAATCAACCATCATTATTGTTACTTCCCCTCTAAAATAAGTAAATGATCATAACTTTTTACATGTAATCACTTCTTTCCATTAAACATCTCTTTTATTTCTTTTAAAGGGAAGTAAAAGAGACTTTTAACAGCTAGCTAATGTTTGCAAGGCACATCAAAACCTATTTTTGGCTAACCCTACAATTAACCATCCTCTATAATGACCACAAAATAATTTGTTGTGTTTTTTTAAAGTTCTATTTTCCCTTCACAGAAAAAAATAGAGCCTAAGTGTTTTACCATATAATAATACTCTTTAAAAGAGCTGGCCATCCCTCCTGTCTTCAATTCTTTTCTTCCATTCTCTTCTGAACCCTCCTTGGTCAGGCCTTTGCCTGTCTTCTCTATCAAAACTGTTCCTGTCAAGGTCATAAATGGCAACCAT